GCTGTTGTCGAGCAGATCCTTAAAGCGGAACCAGGTTTTGTCCGTGCTCCTATGGTGCCTGAGAGACCCAGGTAAAGAGGCAGGGGATCCGGGGGCGAGCGTGACTAGAGTACCGACTCCTCTTGCCTTTCCGTCCGGCTCAGCCGTGACGGCGAATCTTCCGACTCTTCCGTCTGGTCCTACCAGAGCGGAGCATGATGATCAGCTTGACACACATCAAGAACAGTCGTCTCCCACGGTGGAACCGCCGGATGAGGGGGCAACATATGTTCCCAAGGCATCAGCAAGGAACCCTGATGTCTCAGGCATTCCGGGGCTCTCGGGAGCAGACGCTGAACCTGAGGATATTACAACCTTTCCATACGACGAGGACCCCGAGCTCGTAGATTCTATGGAAGACGAGACTTACCCCTTTGGTCCAGCATTTGGGAATATGTTCTGCAGAGTGAGTCTGCCGCCTGCTCCTGACAGGAGACAGAGCGAGCCCCCGCGTGCAGATCCCCGTGATGGGGACCAAGAGGTCACTGCGGGGCATGCTGTCTCATTCAAGGGCAGACAGCTATATGTTACGACAGAAAACGTGGACAAATCATTCGGAGAACACCTGGACCGATGAAACACAAGGTCCGCGACGCACACATGACTGGCCCCGTTCCGCCGCGCATCGAAGCCATCCGCAATCAGACAGGGAACACGCTTCGGTACATTGCTGAGTTTGCGGAAGACCCGATTTTCGCGTTGTCGAGCAGCCTCAGCCAAGCTGACGGCGCGTTTGATCAGGCAAAGGATTTACTCCGAACTGAATTCCATTCCGAAGATGTCCCAGAAGGATTTACTCCAAAGACCTTTGCGTGCCTTGTGCCGCTGGTAGTTGGGGCCGACGACAGCGATAATCCGGCTGCGCTGGGCAGTGCGGACACGCGGAGTCCCCAGAGCTGCCGAGCGGATGTATTTGCTGAGCGGATAGGCAAATGCGCTGTGTACCTCGCGAGGCATTGCTCGGACTATGCGAGATCGTCGGGTGGCTGGGTCTATTTTGGAGACCTGGCGCAGAAGATTGAAAAGGGCGGTTTTACTTTCCAACCATATGCCCTTGCCGCACACGGCTTAGCCGCGCTGCCGCTAGAAACAGTGGAAGTGTTGGGAATACTTCCTAAGGATAGTGACGAGATTGTTGGAACCAGTGTTCGCAAAATGTGGACACGGTACAAGGCGCGCCCATCGCAAGAAAGAGAGAGGAGCGAAATCGCCATACCTATTTTCTATCGAGCGTGTCAGGGACATTCAACATTCGTTGCTTCCATTGAAAGGATGTATGTCCCATATGACCCTGGCCAAGTCAGGAGTCATGGAACCCTTCTTCATATCACGGACATGCAGACATGTTTGGAATCTACGGATGGAAGAGTACGCTTTCCAAGGAGACTCAGGGCTTTGTCGCGAAGCAGATTATGATTTGCTGAGGCTGCTTCCGACGAACAGAAGCCCAACAATGCCTGATCCTACGCGTATCCCTGCGTGGCTTAGCCAGCGGAGGTACGGAGAAGCTCCCCCTCCAAGGATTTTTGCGGCCATGGGGCGTGAGGCGCAGGAAGGAGAACCGCCATCGGTGGGGACATGGCCCGCAGACGACACCATCCATCTATGGGAACAACTTCCCAACCACCGTGAATCCTGGGAGCTTATTCTTGTTTTCACGGGCCGAGTGCTCACTCGCTTCTCACGCAGGATTTGCCCAGACGGGACCCCAGTGTCCCGAGAGGTGCCGAGGTTCACCGATATTGACAAGGCCGTCACTTTCGTTAGACAAACGAACCAGATGTTTTGGTCAGTCCTTTTCAATCGCGAGTGGGCCTCGTACGAAGTGACTTTTGACAACGAGTCAAGTATTGCTTGGGTTCACACAGGCGAGACTCTGTCGTTGGTTCGGAATCGTTGGCCACAGCTGTCACCCGAAGTACAGGAACGGGTTATATCCGTCCCTTGGGAGGATGATGGAAGGTTCCTATGCTTCCGTTTTCACTGGATGAGAACGGGCTTTGAACACTGTCCGGTCTGCAGCTGTCGGATTAAATACAAGCACGGAGTCACGCGCGACTCTATGTCCCAGACGTGGAACTTTAAGGTGATCCCGCGATCCCTTGAGGCAAATGGACTTAGACTACATGTGAAAGATCATTACAATCTCCCTTGGAATCGTCCCGACTGGATCAAAGTGCGTGGGTTTAGACAACAGAGAGCTTCTGCGCTCGTAATGAAGAACATCAGCAGTAACCACCAGCAAGAGCGAAAGTGGGCAAATGGGGAATTTGTTAAAATGGCTGCAACAGGCCAGATCTTCGGCAACAGCCTGCCGGGCAATTTCCCTGCTTGGGTTCCAACGGACGCCGCGGCTCAGCCGCCGGCGCGCCATGGCCCTTTCTTCCAGTATTTGAGGCCCTTGGTCCGAAGGTTCATTGAATGGCTTGCATACTCAGCCTCAAGAGTGAGAAGGCAGACCCCTGCGATCCAGACCTGGTGGCCATTGCTATGGAAGACGAATATTGACCAATATGCTCTCCCAATATCTTGCCCAGCTCTGGCAGCCTTCGACTGGCCAAATCTACGGGACGACATAGTCGAACCTGTGATAGGCTGGGAGAGATGGTGCGACCAGATGACCAGACAAAATGTCTTCGTCCCGACGCTCCAAACGATTGATGACGCGGTGGCCTTGGGGACACCATGGTTGCCTGTGCAGAATGAAGACGCCGTAGAAGACGTAGGAGAAAACCCTAGCACTGGACAAAACCCTCGCGGACGATTGCCAGTCGCTTGGGGGGGCAATTTCGAGGCGAGGCCGACTCGCAGCTCTCAGTCCGTTGCAAGACGGATCAACGAATGTCGGGACCATCGCCTCATAATACCAGCATTGCTACCCGCCGCCGGCGCAGCCGCGAGGGCAGGCGGACAATCACAGATAGGACTGGACTTCTCGGCGATCAGCGGGCCTAAGGCCGCGCTGATAACAGGAGGAGCGATCAACCTTGATCAGCCCGAAGGATATGCATACAATCATTGCGAATACCATTCAGTAAATACATCTTTGCACGGGATGGATGCTAGGGCGATTGCAGCTCAATGTGTTATCGAATACACAGGCATACGCCCAAACCCGAATGATCCAGGTAGATTACAACTGCAAGGGGAAATGGAACATGAGGTCCCACCAATTGTAACGAGCATAGTTGATGGGAACTGGTTGGCCTCTCTACAGCAAATGCAACTTGGCCTTCGGCCCATAAGAACTTTTGCTATCGTTCGCGAGACCATGAGCTCCTTCATATCAGACCGACACCTTGTCGGTTGCCCAGGGCGAAGAATTCGCCCCGATAGAGAGAGAGCACAGACCCCATTAACATGATGCGACGGAGAGATGAACGCGATCTTGACTGTCGCATTCGCGCCGCCGTTCAGACGGACGACATAATAGAGGAATGGGCCCGCCATGCGGGTAGGCAGGTGCAAACCGACGTCCGTCGCGAGGGCGCTTTGCTACAAGAGGCCGTTTCTTGGCTTCAGAACAAATGCATAGATCATGGGACAGAGTTCCAGGATAAAGACGCAGGACCATTCCGCACTGCATGCGGAAGATTTGGCATCCCAGTAGCTACAGCTGCTAGGAGTTTGTTGAAATTCATGCGAGATCGTGAGAACAGAAATGCCAATCCACACCACTGCGGCGAAGCCGACCCCGTGGGACCAATCAGAGCACAGGATGAGGTGAAAGCCAGACCGCCGCCACCACCTCGACCGCGCAGACCCAATGTCTCAGACGCTCGGGCTTCTGATGACGCTACCGAATCCCCACATTCTGTCGCCGGCACAGCCGCGACGACAAGAGAGGAATACTCATGGTATTCCGACGCTTGGGATTGGTCGGTGCCCCAGCGCGCGCGCGATGGAGCCATGGATGCGGGCCGCGGCGCTGCAGGCTACGACCCGCTTGTATCCTACCCGCGCTACGTGAACAATATTCAGGTCGGGCACAACGTCCACCGGGGCCGGATCACGCGGTTGTCCGACGAGGTCTGGTGGACGCTGGAGGTTCGGCATGCACTGTCTACATTTGAACATGATTATCGCTTCCCGCCGAAGGGGAAGGCGTCCAAGAACAAGGAGAAGAACTACAGTGGTGCGTATTAAATTAATAAAGGAAAAGGACGGTCCCGCTCGCCTCGCGGCGGAGACGGACAGGCTGGAAGCTCGGCGCCGTCGAACCCGACGCCTCCGGCGCCACCGACGGGGGGGGGGAACCCGTGGGAGGAGCTGGGCTGAGATCCGCCCGCGCGACACAGTGGCGCATGCAAGGAAATGTTCGTCCACACGCGGTACGCGTGCTGGACGAGTAAGCGACTACTGGTCGGCTAAGCCGGTCCAGCGGTTATTTATATAATGTGGGAGTCGTCGGGTCTCTTCGGCCCTTAGCCCCCCGGCGGCCGCCGTTGAGCGGTAGAAGTTTTTGCGGTTCGCTCCGGTGGTTGCACATATATAGGCCGGGGGTGCTGTGGCCGGATGGGCTCTGCGAGGCCCGCCGCGGGGGGGGTAAATATGTTTCTCTCCGCCTCATAATAATATAACTTATAATCGTATTTGCATGCTGCGCACTGGATGACTTGAACTTATGCTGCATACTGCAGCTGTTTGTTTACTCAAGCAAGCTACTCGTTTGCTTGCAGGAGAGAAGGTGCGAGCTAGCCCGCTCGCGCGCGCCGCGGGGTTGCCCCCGCGTCGTCGTCGTGTCGCTGGCCGGCCGGCCACCTCCCTTACCATTCCTGATATAGTAAATTCGCTTACCGGATACTTGTCTTATCGATGTCTCATCCCGTCCCCTCTCTCCCTGAGCAGAGTGAACATGAGATCTTAATTCCTTTGGCATCTGACCCCGATTCTCAGGGGAAAGACTCATCGAGGCGCTGAATTCGATGCATGGAGGGGATCGTCGGCCTGCCCCCCGGCAGATGTCGGCGTCCACCGAGAAGAAGATTTTAGGCCTACAAGCTGATGTGCGGCAGCGCGTCGTGGAGGCGGCCTCCCGCTGGTGCGGCGTTGACAGCGCCGTCGGCGAACGTGGGGCCTTGGCCAGGCTCTTGAAGGGGCGCTCGGGGCATCAGCCGGCGCCTTCATGCAGTGTCGGGTCCTACGAGTATTCGAAGGTATCTATGCCGAATGACTTGCATGACTCGCCGTCACTCATCTCGATGTTGCCTTCGGAGGCGAGGAAGCACCTCGAGGATTTTGAGAAGCTTATGCTCCGGCCCGCGCAGGAGTCGGAATTGATTCAACCGCATGAAGGGGTGCCGGGCTGTCATACCGACCCGGCGCTGCAGAAGGATCCTCGCACCTACGGCCGCCTTGTGCGGAGGGTAGCGAAAGTCGGCATGGTGACCTTCACTCGAGACCCGGTCTGCGTCCTGGGCGTCTTTTTCGTCACCAAGAAGGCCGACAAGCTCAGGCTGATCGTCGACTGCCGGCGAGCCAACCAGCTGTTCCAGAAGCCTCCAGGCGTCGCCCTCCTGAGCGGCGAGGGGTTGTCCAGGGTGGAGATCGAAGACCCCGAGGGCCTCCTGGAGGGCCTGCCGGTCCACCTCGGCGTCGGGGACGTCGCGGACTGCCTCCGCAGGATGAGGTCGGTGAAGACGGCGGGGGGCGACATTCGGCGTTGCTTTTGCTGGCCGCCCCTCGCGCCCGAGCGCGCCGGCGCCTTCGAGGTCGACGGCGTGGCTGCGAGGCCGGACGAGAAGATCTGGCCCATGTGCGCGAGCCTCCCGATGGGCTTCTCGTGGTCGTTGCACTTTGCCCAGACTGCGAACGCCCAGCGCCTGGGTCGCCAGCCCGCGCTGCGGCAGAGCCAGGAGCTCTCGGACCGGGCCCCCCCCCTGGTCCTCGGCGGGCCATCCGCCTCGGCAGGGTCAGGCCACTACATGTGCGTCGACGACGCTGGCGTGCTCTCCTTCGACGGCGACCTGGCGGGCCGCGCTCTGGCGGAGGCCCAGAGGGACTTCGACGCCGACGCGTTGCGCTTCCACGAGATGGAGGTTTTCGACCGCGGCGGGCCCTCCCTGGGCTGGCATCTCGACGGCGACGCCCGAGTCGCCCGGCCCAGTGACAAGCGTTTCGCTCTGGTGCGCCGTGGCGTCCGGGCGCTGCTTCGGCTGAGGAAGGTCTCTGGCTGGCAGGTCGAGGCCGTCCTCGGACACGTCACTTTCCTGTGTCTGATGCGTCGGGAGCTCCTCTCGATCTTCCACGCGGTGTATCGTTTCGTTCGGGGGTCCTACACGAAGTTCCAGCGGCTGTGGGACTCGGCTCGGGAGGAGCTCAACGCTTTCCTCGGGGCCATGATCTTCGTCGAGGCCGACTCGAGCCAGCCGTGGGCGCCCTGCGTCTACGCCAGCGACGCGAGTCTCCACGGCTTTGGCGTCTCCCAGCCCCTCTGGTCGCATCGTGACGTGGCCGGGGTCGGGCGCGTGCCGGAGCTCAGTCGCTACCGCCCGGGCGGCACCCGGGCCCGAGAGCACGCCTTCGAGGTCGCCGGCTTCAAGGTGGACCCTGAGAGCGGCGACGTGGAGCGCGATTTCCTCGGCCGGCCCGCGCGGCTCGACAGAGAGGCGAGGGGGATCCTGGAGGCGGCGCGGTGGGAGCACAATGAGGATTTTGCTGAGGTGCCCAGCCGCCTCCTTGCCGGCGACCGCTGGCACGCTATTCTTGCTGATCGTTGGCTGCGCGCCGACGACATTTTGCGCCTTGAGGCCAGAGCGGCGGTCAAGGCCAGAGCTCGCGCCCTGCGCATCTGGGCCGTGAAAAATTGTCGTGTCCTTTTGCTCGGTGATAACCTGGCCATCACGCTCTGTTTTGCTCGGGGGAGGTCGAGGGATTACAGGGTGCCTGCGCAACTAAGGCGACTCTTTAGTTTGGCCCTCGCTCGGAAAGTCCGACGTTCAATTCTGGGCACCAGGGGGGCCGAATCTACGATACTTTGCATGATGTTGAGAAGACCCTTGTTTCTTACCTGGGCACCGAGCTGCCACGCGCGGAGCCCGAGCCTGAGGTCAGTCAGGCTGATACCTCCTCGCCTCGGACCTCCTCCTTAGCCATTTGGGCTCCAGATCTGTTCCTCAGGCCGACCCTGTTTCCGCGCCGAGCCTCAGCCAGACCGATGCCGTGAGGGCCACGGATGGACCGGCGCCGGCGGCTGCCGTCGGCCCCCGGCCGCCCTCCGGGCGGACGTCCGCCCGCGTCGTCGGCCCCTACGCGCAGTCGCTGATTGACTGCATCCCTGGTTCGGCCGAGCTCGGAGGGGCAGGCGACCCGCGTGCGCACCCTGACCCTGGAGCGGGGTCTGGCTGGCAGGAGCGGGGTCTGGCCAGCCGCCTGACGATGTGCAGCCGTGCTCTGGAGCAGGGCCGGCCCGAGCGTCGAGTGGGCTCCGCTCCAGCGCAGACGACGGAGGCTTTCCTGGGGCAGGTGGCGGACGAGATCCCCGACAGGTTGGCCAGGGCGCCAGGCCCGGCCGACCGAGGCGTCCCCGCGGACATCGAGGGAGAGGACGGCAGCGAGAGCGACGATTCCTCGGACCCCGAGGAGAGGGCGGCGACAGCGGCCCGCCAGAGGGCCTTGCGCCGGCGACGCGTACTGCGAGGAAAACTTCGCGTTGCATGCGTTGTTCCGCGACGCTCCTGGCGACGCTCCTGGTGACGCGCAGGTGATCTGGCTGGCCACGCGCGACAGGCCGCGCACCGCCGCGGCATTTCGGCGCGCCGCGCGCGGGTTCCTATCGCGGCTGCGTGTGGACACGTCCCATCCCAAGGGCACGTGGCTGGTGCTCGAGGCGGACGACGCCGTCCGCACCGCCGCTGCGCAGCGTCGTGAAAATGTTACAGCATCGGTCGTCGTGGCATTTCGCGGCATATATTTCGAAGCGCCGGTCTCATCTTTCACCGCCGAGACCGTCGCCTTAGATGACGCTGTCTCGTTCGTTTCACGATTTACTAGTCGATCGAAGCATGGGAAGCGGACGCGCGTATAGCCGTCGAAAAGGAGCGAGTACGAAAAACATGTCAAAACCTTAGGAAAATCAATGATGTTGGCCTCTTTGGGCCCTCCTGGAGGACCTCTTGGAGGCCTTTTGGGCCGTCTTGGATGCCTCTTGCGCACCTCTTGGGCCGTCTTGGGCCATATTGGAAGTTTCTTGGGGGGACTTGGAGGCATCTCCTCCTCTCTTGGGCGGACTTGGAGGCCCTCTTGGACCAGCACAACCGCGGCATAGCACATCGCAATTCAGCACGGCGCAGCACAACGCAGCCCTCGGCACGATACATCAAGATCGATACACTCAGCATTGCAATTTGGCACGTTCCGTGGCACGTCCCGTGGCGAGTCCCCCTGGCACGTCGCGCGGCGCGTCCCCTGGCACGTCCCGTGGCACGTCCATTGGCACGTTCCGTAGCGCGTCCCCTTGGCACGTCCCGTGGTGCGTCCCCATGGCACGTCCCCTGGCACGTCGCCTGACGCGTCCCTTGGGACGTTCCGCGGCGCGTCCTCCTAGCATGTCCCCCTGGCAACTAGCTCTGGGGCAGCTACTATGTACTCAGGCAGCTCGAGCTTAAGATCCAGATCAGTTCGGTCAGGATTCGGATGCAAAGGAGGACTCGATCCACAACGGTATCGGGCACAACCGCGGCATGGCACATCGCAAGTCAGCACGGTGCAGCACAGCATAGGCCTCGGCACGGTACATCAAGATCGATATTTTCAGCATTGCGTCTGTCCGTCGCCCAATCAGGTGTTTTTTTGGTGTTTAAGCGTTGCCATGCCTTACATTTCTAGATTATTTCCCGGGTTCGTGGGTCGATCATGTTGACCGTCTCCCAGCTTGTTTGGGGGCCTCTTTGGCGGCGTTGGGCGTTCTGGAGCGCGAGACCGGCGAAAAAATGAGAACAATTGAAAAACTATAGGAGCATCACCGATGTCAGATTATCGGGGCCCCCTGGGCGTCATCTGAGAGCTCTCTTGGGGCGGCGTACTGGAGGCCATTTCGGCTGTTTGGAGGCCATTTTGGGCAGTGTCGAGGCCTTTGGGTTCCGTCCTGGGGCCCTCTCGGGACCCTCTTGGCCCGTTTTGGTGCTCTCTGGCCTCTGGGAAAATCACGCGGGGTGCATCAGGAGTCACGCGGCGCTTCACGGAACACTAGGCAGTTTTCATGACATTTCATCTCGAATTCGAAGGGGCGTGTGAGAACATTCCAGTTTGTGTTTACGGCACGGTGGCGGATGTCCGCGGCGGTCGCCCAGGCAGTGGCTAGAAGCTCGCTAGTCGGCCGTCAAGCTGGCGTGGGCTACGTCGCTCAGTGGCAGGTGCCACACATACCTCTGAGAGCTGCGCACAGAGCTCAGATGCTGAACAAGCCATCGGTGTCATGCTACCACGATCATCATCATGATCATCATCATCATCATCATCATCATCATCATCATCATCATCATCATCATCATCATCAGCATCATGATTACTATCATCATCACCACGATCATCATCAGCAGCAGCATCATCATCATCCTCATCGTCATCATCATTATCATCATCATTATCCTCATCATCAGCAGCATCAGTACCATCATCGTCAGAATAACCTGCCACCATCTCAGCCTCTTCATCATCCTCCACTTGATCCGCCTGATTGACGTACTCATCGTACTCTTCCTTCTTCATCCCTTCTTCCTCATCTTCTGTGTCTCTGGTAGTAGCACAGTAGGACCGCTCGCCGCCTTCAAGTCTCGATGTCAACATCAGAGGCAACATCATCATCGTGAATAGCCGGTCAGGCTCAAAGGCCATTTTGGCTCTCCCACACCCCAACATCTCGGCTGGCAATCCCCTCCCGCTGCGAGATGCGGTGTGCCTTCGTCGCGGCCTCCCTGCTCGGGGCCGCCACCCTCGGGTCTGCCAAGGACGATGAGAAGAAGATCGACGGCCCCGTCATCGGGATCGACTTGGGGACCACCTACTCGTGCGTGGGCATCTACAAGAACGGCCGCGTCGAGATAATCCCCAACGACCAGGGAAACCGCATCACCCCCTCCTACGTCGCGTTCACGGACGAGGAGCGCCTGATCGGTGAGGCCGCCAAGAACCAGGCGACAATCAACCCATCACAGACGCTTTTCGACGTGAAGCGCTTGATCGGGCGTCGCTTCAAGGATTCCACGGTACAGAAGGACATGAAGTTGCTGCCGTTCAAGATCGTCGACAAGGGTGGGAAGCCTTTCATCAATGTGAAGGTGAAGGGAGAGGCCAAGGACCTGCAGCCGGAGGAGGTCTCCGCCATGATCCTGACGAAGATGAAGGAGACTGCCGAGAATTATCCGTGAGGGCTTTGCACCCTGCCGCCAGCCCTCTCTCTATCATAATGGAACATATCAGAGTCGCGTCGGTGCGTCTCGGCGCTGCCTTGGCGCATCTGGGAACATCATGCGGGGGCGGATAGGAATCATCAGCGCATATTGAGACGTTGACGTTATCCTAGTGGCTTTCGGCCCATCTTGCCACCGCGCCTGGGTTGTGGGTCTGAGGCCTCGTGTATATGTGTTGGGGTGTCGTGGGGAGCCTCTCGGGGGCCTCTTTGAGGCGGTTTGCGCGCCTCTTGGCGGTCTCCTGGGGCCTCGTGGGGTATCTTTTGGGCCGCCTGGAGACCTCTTGGGCGCGTTTTGGGCGCCTCTTGGGGCCTCCTGGGGCGTCTTGGTGGCTTCCAGGGGCCTCCTGGAAGCTTCTTGCTTGGGCCCCTCTTGGGCCGTCTCGGGCCATCTTGAGCGCTTCTTGGGCCATCTTGGAGCCCTCTTGGGCCGTCTTGGGGCCGTCTTGGAGGCCTCTTGGGCTGGCTTTGGGTGGTCTTGGGAGCTTCTTGAGCCGTCTTGGAGCGTCGGAAAGCCGAAAATGCGAGAAGGCCATAGCCCTTCAAACATCTATGTCAAATCGACCATTTGGGCCTCTTGGGACTCTCTCGGGAGACATGTTGGAGCGCTCTTGGGGAGCTCTCTTGGGCCGTCTTGGAACCATCTTCGGGCGCCTTGGAGCACTCTTCGTCGTCAGTGCGAATGCAGCGTAATTTGCAAGGGCTTATGGCCTCGGGGACGCGAATATGGTTTATTCCCAACCCTCCTGCGTTGGGTACTCGTTTTGAATAGAGCACTGCGGTCTCCACCTTCCTTCCTTCCCGCCTCCTCCTCCTCTCTTCCCTCTTCCTCTCCTCTCTTGCTTCCCTTCTCCGCCTCTCTTCGCTCCTCCTCTTCTCTTCTCTTGCCTTTCACGTCATCCCTGGCGGGCTGCGATCTGCGGAACTGTCACCACTTTCGAGGGCTGCTGGTGGGTCCAGCGGAGTGAGGCACCACGGGGACTCAGATTAGACCTCGCCATCCCTGGGGGGGGGGGCTGCGATCTGTGAAACTGTCGCCACTTTCGAGGGCTGCTGGTGGGTCCAGCGGAGTGAGGCACCACGGGGACTCAGATTAGACCTCGCCATCTCTGGGGGGGGCTGCGATCTGTGAAACTGTCACCACTTTCGAGGGCTGCTGGTGGGTCCAGCGGAGTGAGGCACCACGGGGACTCAGATTAGACCTCGCCATCTCTGGGGGGCTGCGATCTGTGAAACTGTCGCCACTTTCGAGGGCTGCTGGTGGGTCCAGCGGAGTGAGGCACCACGGGGACTCAGATTAGACCTCGCCATCTCTGGGGGGCTGCGATCTGTGAAACTGTCGCCACTTTCGAGGGTTGCTGGTGGGTCCAGCGGAGTGAGGCACCACGGGGACTCAGATTAGACCTCGCCATCCCTGTGCGAACTGTCGCCACTTTCGAGGCTGCTGGTGGGTCCAGCGGAGTGAGGCACCACGGGGACTCAGATTAGACCTCGCCACCCCTGGGCGGCTGCGATCTGTGAAACTGTCGCCACTTTCGAGGGCTGCTGGTGGGTGGCCAGCGGAGTGAGGCACCACGGGGACTCAGATTCTGACCACGAGCAATGCTCGCGTGCCCTTGCTCTGCGGTTCGTGCCACGTGGCGCTGCGACTCGAGCTGGCGGTCGTCCTTCGGACCTGCAGAAACATCTGCTGAGCTCGATGGGCTAAGGGAACTACAGGAAAGAAGTGCAGGAAACGGAGGCCGGTCATGCACTCGCCGATACCTCGTTGCTCTGTCATCGTCTTTGCTGTTGCATGATCCTTATCTGGCCTGCCGGCGCCGCGGCTCGAGCTGGCGGTCGCCCTTCGGGCCCGCGGGAACATCTTCTGAGACAAGTGGACGCCGCCGCCTTACTTGCAGGCAGCGCATTGCATTCGCGGACAGCAGCATGGCAGACCGCAGTGAGATCCTCAGTCGCGTGGCGTTGCCAAGCCTGGTGGAGACGCGCGTGATCGACCTGAAGTCCCAATCGCGCGTGCACTGTACCTGCGTGGCGTTCAGGCACGCGCGTGATGCTGCTCGCTCCGCGTTCAACCAGTACGTCGCCAGTGCAACTTTGGACGATGGACAACCGATTGATGATACGCGACCCCGGCCTTGAGTTTCTTTCCCGCGGGCCGCCCGCAGACCTGGCGGCGCGCCTGCGAGCGTTCAGCCCCCGCGCTGAAATGTGCGGGAAGGAGGCGGAGAAGCTAGCGGGCGAGCTACGCCTCGCTCGTTCCTTGCGCTCTAAACAAGTTTTATCATGTGGAACTCTGCGACGACATGGCGCAGGCAGCGCTGCGGGTTTAGCTCGCACTTGAAAAACGCGGCAGTCTTCTGTCTCCTCCCGCCACTTTCATCGTCGTCCTATTCCCCGCCTCACCTTTTCCATGCATGCTGCTGCTTCCGCGATGGCCTGTCGCCCCCCCCGCCCTCCATTCCATCCCTCTCCTACCCCTCGTTCCCGTGCCCGTTCTTCTTCGATCCTGGGGCCTCAAGCCTCGTTCTTTCGATCGTCGTCCTGTGAATCGTGCAACGCATGCGCATCCCATGTAGCTTGCACAGCAAATCGCCGCGTCTACACTGTCGTTGTTCCTGCTAATGTTGGCATACTCCTCTTGCCATTTGATGCACGTGGGTTGGGTACGTCGCAGGGTAATTTTGAGCTGGATTATAGCCTCGGGGCGCGCATATCGGGTAATGCGCGAGAGTGTTGCCTCGGGGACGCACACATTGTCATTTACGAGGGTTTGCGGCCTCGGGGACGCGAATATTGCGCACGCTACGAGGGATTATGGCCTCGGGGGCGCGAATCTCACTTATCCCCGGAAAAAGCTTAGGCCCAGGGTTCTCTTTTAGGCGTTTTCCCCCGGACCCGACGGAGAGAGGGCCAGCGGTATCATTCTGCGATAAATAACTAGGCGGGAAGAGGGCCGGCGGAACTGTTTTTGAGGATCTCCCGAGCGGAACGCTTATTTTTATATTTTGTTCAGGATGTCTCGAGCGAAACGCTAGTTTTGCGTTATATGTTTTAATGTGTGAGGATGTCCCGAACGAAACGCTAGTTCTTCAGAATTTGTTGAGGATTTCTCGAGCGAAACGTTTGTTTTGTGCTATATGATTTCTCGCCTGGGGACCCGAATTCAGAGGATGTCTCAGGTGAAACGCTTATTTTGCTTATGTTCTGGAGTGGGATATGTGTTCGGGGAGCGCTTTTCGGTCCCCCCCCGCCCCCCAGGAGGCCCCAGGAGGCTCATGGTTCCTACGCCTCAGGGCGGGACAAGCGTGAAAACACATCGGTTCCTCACGCCCCAGGGCGGGGGAGAAGCGTGAAAGCACATGGGTTCCTAACGCCTCAGGGCGGGACAAATGTGAAAACACATTGGTTCCTAACGCTCCAGGGCGGGAGAAGCGTGAAAACACATGGGGTCCTAATGCTCCAGGGCAGAACAAACGTGAAAACACATGGGTTCCCAACGCCCCAGGGCGGGAGAAGCGTGAAAGCACATGGTTCTTAGCGCCCCAGGAGGCCCCAGGAGGCTCCAGGAGGCTTCACGAAGTTCCAGGAGGACTTGTTTTGTGTTGGGATATATGTTCGGGGTGCGCTTTTCGCCCCAGGAGGCCCCAGGACGCCTTTCCCTATATTGGGTATGTGTTCGGGGAGCGCTTTTCGCTCCCCTCCCGCCCCCCAGGAGGCCCCAGGAGGCTCGAGAAGCGTGAATACACATCGGTTCCTGACGCCCCAGGGCGGGACAAATATGAAAAAACATTGGTTCCTAACGCCTCAGGGCGGGACAAATGTGAAAACACATGGTTGCTAACGCCCCATGGCGGGAGAAGCGTGAAAACACATGGGTTCCTAACGCTCCAGGGCGGGAGATACGTCGAAACGCATGGGTTCCTAACGCCCCAGGGCGGGGCCAGCCTGAAAACACATAGGTCCCCTGGCACGTCCCGTGGCGCGTCCATTGGCACGTTCCGTAGCGCGTCCCCCTAGCACGTCCCGCGGTGCGTCCCCATGGCACGTCCCCTAGCACGTCGCCTGGCGCGTTCCTTGGGACGTTCCGCGGCGCGTCCTCCTAGCATGTCCACCATGTCAATTAGCTCTGGGGCAGCTACTATTATGTGCTCAGGCAGCTTGAGCTTAAGATCCAGATCAATTTGGTCAGGACTCGGATGCAAAGGAGGACTCGATCCACAACACTATTAGAGCACAACCGCGGCATGGCACATCGCAATCCAGCACGGCGTAGCACAGCACAGCCCTCGGTACGGTACATCAAGATCGATACACTCAGCATTGCAATTTGGCACGTTCCGTGGCGCGTCCCGTGGCGAGCCCCCCTGGCACGTCGCGTGGCGCGTCCTTTGGTACGTCCCGTGGCACGTCCATTGGCACGTTCCGTAGCGCGTCCCTTTGGCACGTCCCGCGCTGCGTCCCCATGGCACGTCCCCTGGCACGTCGCCTGGCGCGTCCCCTGGGACGTTCCGCGGCGCGTCCTTCTAGGATGTCCCCCTATCAATTAGCTCTGGGGCAGCCCTCGACACGGTACATCAAGATCGATACACTCAGCATTGCATTTGCCCGTCGCCCAATCAGGTGTTTTTGAAGCGTTGCCATGCCGTACATTTCGGTCGATCATGTTTTTATGTGTCCCACGCGCCCCGAGGAATTCAGAACGCGCGATCCGAGGGTGGTAAATTGCTGTTTGGGGGCCCTTCCCTCGCGGTGCCTTCAACAATTTACAATAGGAAGTAGCAGGCAGGACTGTAACATTGGAGACTTGATATTGCAATTGGTGCAGGGAGCAGCAACTTAGGCCTACAGCCTGGTGGCCCCACAAGGGGGCCGGCGGATTTGGGCAAGGAGGTCAACCACGCAGTGGTCACCGTGCCGGCGTATTTCAACGACGCGCAGAGGCAGTCCACGAAGGATGCGGGCACCATCTCTGGTATGAACATCCTCCGGATCATCAACGAGCCTACGGCAGCGGCCATCGCGTACGGTCTGGACAAGAAGACCGAGAAGAACATCCTCGTGTACGATCTGGGCGGTGGCACCTTCGACGTCAGCTTGCTCACCATTGACAATGGCGTGTTCGAGGTGGTCGCCACCAGCGGCGACACGCACCTGGGCGGCGAGGACTTCGACCAGCGCGTCATGGCGCACTTCGTCAAGATCTTCCAGAAGAAGCATGGCAAGGACATGTCCAAGAACCAGAAGTCTATCCAGAAGCTCCGCCGCGAAGTCGAGAAGACGAAACGTGCCCTGAGCTCCACGCAGCAGGCCCGCATCGAGATCGAGGGGCTCTTCGAAGGCGTGGACTTTTCCGAGACGCTTTCGCGCGCTCGCTTCGAGGAGATCAACGCCGACCTGTTCAAGAACACCATTGGCCCCGTCAAGCAGGTCTTGGATGATTCTGGCCTTAAGAAGAACCAGATCGACGAGATCGTGCTCGTCGGCGGCTCCACGCGCATCCCGAAGGTGCAGCAGCTGATCAAAGAGTTCTTCAACGGCAAGGAGCCGAACCGTGGTATCAACCCGGACGAGGCGGTGGCCTACGGAGCCGCCGTGCAGGCTGGCATCTTGAGCGGCGAGGGTGGCCAGGATCTCCTGCTGCTCGACGTCACTCCTCTCACGCTGGGTATCGAGACCGTTGGAGGCGTGATGACCAAGCTGATCGGCCGGAACACTGTCATCCCGACCAAGAAGTCGCAGATCTTCTCCACCTACCAGGACTGGTGAGGGAGGAGGAGGAGGAGGAGGAGGAGGAGGTGGAGGACGGAGGAGGACGGAGGAGGACGGATGAGGATGAGGAGGAGGAGGAGGAGGGATGAGGAGGAAGAGGAGGAGGGGGAGGGGGAGGGGGAGGGGGGGGAGAACGAGGAGGAGGGTTCAGGACAACCAGCCGGCAGTGAACATCCAGGTCTTCGAGGGCGAGCGGCCCATGACGAAGGACAATCACCAGTTGGGCAAGTTCGAGCTCGGTGGGATCCCACCTGCGCCGCGTGGTCAGCCGCAGATCGAGGTTACTTTCGAGATCGACTCCAACGGCATTCTGGCCGTCGGCGCCCAGGACAAGGGCACTGGCAAGGAGGAGAAGATCACCATCACCAACGACAAGGGTCGGCTGACGGAGGAGCAGATCGAGAAGATGATCAAGGAGGCGGAACAGTTCGCGGACGAGGACAAGAAGGTCAAGGAGCGCGTGGATGCCAAGAACGCGTTCGACGGTTACATCCACTCGATGAGGTCTGCGACTGAGGGCTCTGGCGAGAACAAGGGCCTGAGTGAGAAGATGGACTCTGAGGAGAAAGAGAAGATCCTCGATGCCCTCAAGGATGGGCAGTCTTGGCTGGATTCCAACCCCGAGGCCGAACCCGAGGAGATCAAGGAGAAGCACAAGGAGGTGGAGAACATCTGCGCCCCCATCGTCTCTAAGTACTACGGCTCTGGGGGCGGAAGCGGAGGTGGAGGCGACGAGGAGGACGAGGACGAGGCGCACGACGAGCTGTGAGGCAGCCCAGTCGACCAGCCTGCATCATGGCAGGTCGGATCCTTGGCTTTGGTTCCGTAAGGTCGCGCTGAAGGCGCCAGGCAGTTTCGCATTTTCCGTTTGCAGTAAGGCGGAGAAGGTTTTGCCGTAGCCGTCATTCGATTGCCGAGGTGCATATGTTGCATCGGCTGAAATTACGTGTGCATTCCCCGCGTCTGCTCCTCTATTGTGTTGCGCGCCCTTGATGTGGATGTTTGGACACAAGTCCCTTTCTCCATGTCAGAAAGAGCGTGTTCTACCACTACTGGCGAAAAACCGCGGGGGTCACTGGGGGTTCCCAACCCATCCCCCCCCTCGAAAACCAGAGTGGGGTCCCTACAGGTTCGACCCCCCCGCTCCACCCCCCCTCCCAGTCCATCATGAAAAAGGGGAGGAAGTCACTACCGGTTCGAATCCCTCCCCCCCCCTTTGGCCGCTGACAAACGATTCCCGCTCCTCGGGACAGTGGGACCGTGGTGGGGACACTGGGACAGTGATGGGGACGGTGGTGGTGGGGACAGTGGTGTGGTGACAGTGGGACAGAGGTGTGACAGTGGTGGGACTGGGGACAGTGGGACAGTGGTGGGGACCTTGGTGGTGGGGACAGTGGTGAGGGGACAGTGGGACAGTGGCGGAGACGGTAGTGGTGGGGACAGTGGTTAGGGCGGTGGTGAGGACGGTGGTGGGACAGTGGTACAATGGGGAGAGTAGGACAGTGTTGGGGACATTGGGGACAGCGGGACAGCACAGTGAGACCGCGGTGGGGACAGCGGGGACAGTGGGGACAATGGCGGGGGGGACAGTGGGGACAGTGGGACAGTGGTGGGGACAGCGGGGACAATGGGCAGAGTCGGACCGTGGTGAGGACAGTGGCGGGGACAGTGGGGACAGTGAGACATTGGTGGGGGCACTGGTGGGGACAGTGGGGACAATGGTGGGAACAGTGGGGACAGTGGGACAGTGGGACAGTGGTGGGGACAGTGCGGACATGGTGAGGACGGTGGTGGTGGGGACAGAGGTATGGGGACAGTGGGACAGTGTTGGGGACAGTGGGGACAGTGGGACAGTGGTGGGGAAGGTGGTGGTGGGGACAGTGGTGAGGGCGGTGGTGAGTAAATATGCTTTTCTCCGCCTCATACTCAATTAGAGCTTAACTTAGCTCGCATGCAATGAACTGTCCGCGTGAACTGAAGCTGCGTTTTTGCAGCTGTATAACTGCTCAAACCAGCCGACCTCGGCTGGCAGGAGAGAAAAGGAGCGCGCTGGGGCGCGCGGGCGATTCGTCGTCGTCCGTCCTCGGCCTTCCTCCTCCCTTCCTATTCCTGAAAGAGTGGTTTAGCTTAACGGATATCTGTCTTATCAATGTCTCATCCCGCCTCCGCTCTCCCTGAGCAGAGTGAACACGAGATCTTAATTCCTTTGTCATCTTACCCCGGTTCTCCGAGGAAAGACTGGTTATCAGCCGAAACGCGCGACTTAGTCGACGCGGGGCCATTCGATACAAAAAAAGATCTTTCAGTCGTGCCCCGCGATTCAGTCGCTGCGGGAGAGATCTATGATAAGACTAATGTCGTGTCTAATATCTCGAGAAGCGCTGATAGGCGCGTTGAACAACATGATGAGCACGATACAGATAGAGTCGGTCGTATTCAAGACCGAATCTCTCCTTCAACTATCGCCGATCGGGTCATGAGGGGGAGAAGCGCCTATGGGATAACCGAAATGTCGGTAGACGTATCCACAGTAGGGGCTCCGATAGGTGATCGTGAGCAACCCCCCGACCCTCACGGGCGAGAAGGCGTCGCGCCAAGACCCAGGCGAGGTACATTCTCTTCAAGGCTGAGTGCCAAATCGACGGAGTCGATAAATCCCATCCAGAATGCTCCACAAGCCACTGCCATCGCCGCTGGCGAAGCCAGCCGGCCAGGGGAAGCCCAAGGGAATCCGAATGCGTATCCTAATATCCCCGTAGAATGGGTGGGTATGCATGTTACTGCCCCAACCCCCATAGCACTTAACGGACAATTCGGTCAGGATAGCGATGATCCGATAGACAAAGATCACGAAATATATTCCATGGAAGAAAATTTTGATAGTATCAATAATGTTATTTCCCTGAGCCGAGCGTTGTCCGTGATGATGGATGAAGGCATCCCTGCTCGAGACGAAAGTAGGTCTCCAGATGGATCCGATGAAGACACTGGTATCCGGACGCCTCAGGCGGACAGGACGGGGACTCAAACGAAGCACGAGAGGGGGTCCATTGGGCGAACTCCTGCGCCTAACCTCAAGAAGCAGCGGAATGAGGACTATGAACTAAACGTCTCGCCATTAAAGGAAGGCTTATTCCGTTATGCCACCACCTCAGGTGAGTGGCAACCCACTATTCCAGCTGTTGTTGAGGACGAAGAAATGGTCGGGCAACCAGATATATATTCTCAGCCAATCAAACAAGACGAGAAGGATGAGGAGCTCTTAAATGCGCCCAAACCACCAGAAAGCATTCTTACTCGCCCCCGATCGAATGCTTCGAGCAGGGGAAGACCCAAAATACCAAGATCAGGGGCGAGGTCTACCTCTAGGAGCAACAGTGCAGCTTCTATGATGGAGGCATGTCGGAATCCCAATCCTGGCTGTGCGCCTCAGGCGGAGAGCAGATGCCCAGGCAAAGCCAACAGGCCTGAAGGCGCATGTAGGAACCCAGTGTGCAGGAGTTGCTCGGACGTTTGCAAAGAGTGCAACATGCAGTGGTTGTGCGCAGATTGCTATCAGTTGTGCACGTGCCTCCTCATGCAGTCTATGCAAGACCAGGTCAGGCTAGCAGAGGCTAACACTCAGAGAGTGTTTCTGACTAGCGAGGCGCATCTGGCTGAAAGGCTCGATTGGACAGAGAAGAATTAGCTGGGACTGTGATCGAAGCCAGGAAAACGTTTGAGGCTGAGCGGATCGCCCTAGCCATGGCCGCTAGAGAGCGTGAACAAGCGCTGATAGAACATCTGCACAATCAGACTGAGGCCGTAAAATGGCATGTGGAGAGGGACGCAGAAGACAAATACAGAGAATTATTGACTTCGGAGAGACGGGCCGTCATGATGGCGAACGAAGAATCTGCGGGCGCCCACGCGGTTGCCGCTGCCGTCGTAGTGGCCAAGATGAAGGAGAACAAATCGCGACAGCCGTGGCGGAACAAGAAAAGCAGGGATTACAAGAAGAGCTCCAAGCCGCCAGGCTGAAAGCAGACAACGCCCAAGCTGTAGCTGCGAAGATAAGCAACCAGAACAATCTCTATCTGGAAGAGCTTAAATCGCATGAGGAAGCCAGATCGTCTCTTCAGCGTATAATGTCGGGCAATACTAAATGCCCGCCGGCTAAGCCGATCGGGTCGAACATACACCAGCTATCGACGGCTCAGTCGTCGAGCATTGCGTCTGCCCCTACGCAATTCGATCAGACGACCGCGGCAAATGCGGGAGCATCGACCATGCTGGTAGGAGGTGCAACACGCCCTCCTCCCGATGGGAATGGAATCGCGCTTCCCGTGGACCAGTGTTGTGCCGTTTGTTTTCGTCCAAAGACAGACAACTGCGCCGGATGTGGCAGCTCGGCGCGCGACGAACATATCGATGCGAGTGCGAGGAGATGTTTTAGATGCGACCTGTGGAAGAGTGAAAGGTCAGCGGCTAACATGCGAGAAGAAGAGATTGCATCGAACGCGGCTAACATAGAGATAGGAAAGATGAGGCTTAAGGCTATCATCGCCGACCCGAATCCGCATGCTGAAACTAAACGCGAAGTCGGACTCACATCGAAGTCGTTCGGATTTCCGTTGTTTTCGCAAGAAACCCCCGTTAGGCCGCTGTTGCATCAACATTATTATGTCCCAGGACCTGCCCTTGAAGGTCCGGCTAAGCCGAGCGCCGCTGAAAATGGACCCCCTGCAGGGATGAGGCTAACTGGACTTGACGAAAATAACGCTCTTGCCAGTCTCCGCCCAACCTATGGAGACGGCCCTAAGGGAACGACTGCGACTAAGTCGTCCGGCAATGCAGGGCAGGGCGGAGAAGATGACGACAAGAGCGACGCTCCCAACGCTGAGATCGTATCTTCGCACGAAGATGATCGTGGTAGAGGACCGCGAGGATCGCCTCCGGGGAGTCCAGGGGGGTCAGACCCCTCTGATGGCGGGGGTGGACGCAGGGGGCCTCAAGGCCCCGGCGGACCGCACGACTCGATAGTAATTGACGAGAGCACGCCGTTAGATCAGTGGAGACAGGTTGGTAACAACCAGAACATTGATTTGTTGGACATCCCTGATGTTACGAACATTCGTGAGTGGAAAATGCACGCAATACGCGCCATCGCTGGGTCATCGCCCGAGGACCAGGCAGCACAGCGCTTGATTGCCGAGGCTATGGATCCAGCCGTGGAGAATGAGCAACTCAAAGATGCTGGACGATTCCAGCGCCTCGACCTTATGATCGCAACGAATATTTTTGAACAACTCAACAAGATGCGAAAGAGTCGATATCAGCCTCCTCATCATGCACATTTCCTTCAACAGGTTACTCGCATGGAATTCAGCGCCCAGGCCGAGGGAAGGCTCATGACTGGACGCGAGATGGTGCGGGCGATTTGTCACTGGTGTTCGGTAAGGTCGGAGTTGGGACAGCGTCGCATTTCACGTGACCTCTTCAAAGTGAAGATAGACCCGCGCAAGCCTGATGCTGATCTGTATCATTTCTACAATGAATGGACAGACGTGCATCAGCAGCTTTATGGCGCCAAACCTCCGTCCGATGAGATGAGGGCCTCGATTCGTGCACACTTTCTTGAACAATGCAGAAAGCCGAGCAAACTGGATGTGTATGTAAGTTATATGATTTGTCAAAAGACAGAACGGGACAAGGTGTCAAGACTTACGAGTGGCTGATGGAGCAGATTGAAGAAATGATGTTGCGAGAAAAAGTAGAGTGGAACATCAG